TGGTAAATCTGATCGGCAGTAATGCGAATCGTAGTGACAGTTGTGCGGGTGGTGGCCCACGCTTCGTCGCACAATAACACTGATTTACTTACGTGCTTTAACGCGCGAGTTTTCGCCATCCAAGAATATTTATTGCTGTGGCTAACGGTTTGGATTGAATTATAATGTTCTACGATGTTAGCTGCGCCCTTTCTGCTCGCTTAATCCTCGCAATTCGATTCTATTACGCGTTGATGGGCTGTCTTGCACGAAAACTATCGTTTTGCCGGTTGTTTGGTTAATTTGATAAAGAGATTTGTTACCTGCGCCGAATAAAAATAGTTATTATTATTTTGTTTTTCTCGAATCGACGAGAAAGTTTTGTAATTTTCTTAAATGAGCGAGTTGAAAGTTTAGAAAACTTTATAACGAGATTGATCTAAATTTGATTATATAGGAGATTTAGAGATCGAAGGAATTTCGAATACGAAAAATGTGATGTGTACAATAAATAAAATAATTTGATATTCTCAAGTATATCCGCAATATTATCAGTCGAGGTTATGGTCGATGGTTCTTCGAAATGCAAAATATCTTTTTTTAATTTATTGAGTTTTGTGCAAGATCTTTTATGTAAGAAGAGCTGTATATACAAAGACACCAACCATTTCCTCATAACACAGAATATTTGAACAATTCTCCACTGTCATTGAATGAAGATAAAATCGATTCGTCGAGGGCGATGCATTCGCGATTCACTTTGCAAATTGAAAAACCTCCATCCTTTTCAAATATCTTGTCAAACATTCCCTTCGAAAGCTCATCGATACCTTCGCCTGGGTACCACCGATCTTAAAGAAAACTTTAATGAGATTCTGATTTTACATTCACAATTGTGAAGAAACAAAGGAGGAATATCTCGTTAATATCTCGTATATTTGTTCACGAATTCGCAACCATTTTATTAAATTATCCATCTCTTATTACGTTACATATAAATACGAATAATATCTTATTATTATGAAAATACTCTCGCGTATCATCGCGTGGCTTTCGTTGAATTAAGACATTAAACCGTTCGTTTCGACATCATTTGCCTGAAAATCAAAAGAGAAGAAAGAATAGAAACGAGAATGAAAGAATGGAACAAGATTATACAAAATTTCGAGCTTGGTAACGAGCCTTCGTTACTACACACGCGTGTTTTGTTTAAATATAACCGTCTGCGTTTGTACAGGCTAATAATTCAGACATCAGACCGTTTCTTGAATAATTAAAAGAGAGAACCGGCCGTCCCTTTATTAGAAAGTTAAAGCAGAATCGCGAGATTCTCGAGATTCTTCGTTAACTTTCTCATTGACAAACGCGATAGAGGAGCGATAATAAAAAGCTCGATTCCTCTCTTTCTTTACCCAGACCCAGGATACAAACGAATTCGAATACTATGATACTTCCTCGAGTACTATCGCGTTGAAGATATTTTCTCAAATAGTAGAAAGTTGGAAATGGCGCACCTTTCGAAAGCGGATCCTCCTTAAATCGCAAACACCTACTTTTCTTCCTTCTAGGCAATATTACACTCATTAGTCCCCATTGTAGCGGGAAAATCCGGTAAATTGAGATTTTATAAGTCGCAGCCCTCGCGAGGTTCCCCACTTCTGGACGCGTCGCAAATGGCGCGCGTCGTTGTTTCCATCGTGTGGAATGGTAAATTTCGTTTAATGACTCCCTCCGTCTCTTTCCTCCCGAATAAGAATGGAAGAGGATATAAGACAGCGATTGCTACATTACGGCCTCGTTCGTATTATTCCAGTGATTTTCATTGCGCCAAGAATGCGACCAATCTCTTTATTCTCTACGTCAATGTATACACCACGATTCATAAATACACGGTTATATATATATCTCTCATGCAAGGAATCTAGAAAATAAATCGTATTTCAATTTTTAACCCGCGATTCTTTCTTTTTTAACTATTCTTAAATCCAAAACTACAGCACGCAGATATACTTTTTACTTACTTTCGTGCCTGAAATAAGGATATACGTTTTGTGAATCACTCTGTATTATTATCTCAATAGCGTTATCGATTTAATGGAATTTATGAAAATGAGGTCCGCTCGATCGTTCAAAACTCGATGCCAGATATATAAGACGATTGTGTAACCGGTTTGTTCGAGAGTTACAGATCTGCTCTCGACATGGATTGGTCGTATGCGTAATTGGATAATGCACAACGAAATATCTAGAAATATATATATATATGGTTAGGATAAATGGTTAATAGAACGTTCTTTTTATCTTCTTGGTTCGTGTCGTTTTGAGTAAACGTTTCAACTCGTCGTCGTGATTCGTTCGTCACGCGATTTCCGATAACGTGGTTGCTAATTAACGGGTTAACATTCGACAACGTGACAGGAATGGGATATTCGTTTGTGCAATGGGTTACGAGAGTGGATACTGATCGATCCAGATCTTAATAAAGATAAATTATTAGGGTTGCCTTGAGACGAACGCGTTAGTCGATACAATTTCAATAAAATATCAACGAATTTTATTGAATCATCGTGTAATATTCTCTATCAATGTCAATGTTCTTTTCTTTCTAAAATAAAAAAATAACGGAGAGAAATTATTTATAATCACAATAATTTTAAATAATCGTTTCAATCGTCGAGATTTATTAAAATTATCGCGATACAAATTACCATAGCACTTTTCAATTTCCAAAATCCAATTGCTCGAGACAGGATGAAAAGTCGAATAACAAGTTATTCAATCTCTTGTACTCTCTCCTTGCAACAAAATCAACAGCAGGAAAGAATAAATTGCGCGTAAGGTGCAGAATCAAGTGCAGGCAACTTCTCTTTCATTTAAAATAAAATCTCCGTGGTCAATCTCGGTTACATTTCATTATCCAACTGGTGAATATATTTTCACCAGAGACACGTGGTAAGCTTGCAGGATCATCATTTTTCATCTACGTCACAATACCTTCAGAATACCCGGCTGGTGGTATTCACGAAAAAACGAGTGGCAACTACCTTAACTGGTTACACTTCGTACCATTCTGGCCTGCTTTTAAAATACGCCATCCTATATCGCCCTCCTGGAATTTTTCAGTCTCAGCGAACGTTAGCCGGCAATATAATTTGCATTTGTTCCAACTCGCGTGTCCTTTCTTCCCTTCTCCATTTCCTTTCTCTTCCGTTCTCTTTCACTTTCCACTCTTTGTCCCTCGTCCAAGAATTTTTCACCACGGCACCGAGATTTGTCACGGACGACATTTCTTTGGGCGGCAGTTTAACCAAAGTTCGATTAAAGAATGGGACATTAGAAATTTCGAATTCAATGTTTGAAGAGATAAACTGTGTTGAACCAGCGGTCGTAATCGCCGCGTTTCAATTTTTTTATCTCTTATAATTAATCTGGAAAACGTAATTTCGAAATTAATATTACATTGATTAATAATTGGGAGTTTTATTTATATATTTATAAGAATTGAAATCTGATTTTTAGATTTGCAAAATGTTGAAATTTTAGTTATCATATAATAACATTTGAAATCAAGAAAAACAAAGATATTTTATTCTTTCTTGTGATCGTCATAAGTTCGTTACAAGTATTTTACAAAATTCTTCAAACTCATTGACATAATACATAATTGCCAGAATATATATCGCGAAAGTATTCTTAAGTTTCGTCTTCCAGAAGAAAGATGGACGCCTTTTTAAGATAAAAAAGTCAAAGATCGTTATTTGGTGGACGCGATTATGTCCAAACAGTTGAATAATCGAGTTTGCAAACTATACAGGCCCTACTTTCGATATTGAGTTTCGTTTGGTACTTCGTGCCGTGGAGATTCGAAGCTGGGAGTAAGTAGAACGGCAAGCTTCCCTTTGAGACCAGCGTTGATTCGATCGTCGGTTCGAAAATCCCGGCAGACACACCGAAAGTATATTACCGATATATATCATCGTACTTAATACTTTCGCGCGTGGAGCACGCCGAGTTGGCCGACTTATAAAGTTACAAATTCCCTTGGTCTTCGAGTATTCGAAGGGAATGTCTCTTTAGACTGTTCTCTCCCAATCCCCTCCCCAACCTATCCCGTTTCTTTTCCCTCGTTCGACACAAGCCCCTGCTTGTAGACTTTCCTCGGCCGATTCTGGAGTATGATTTTTTTCACACTTACCCTATCCCAGTCACGAAAAGGTGCTTACGTTTCTTTCTCGACGTCTGAAATATGGACAATCGTACTTTAGTCATGGCCACCCCAGGCATTCATTTTTCTCGGCCGGTTAAGAGTTTTACGGCACGAACCGGTGTTCCTTTTTGACAACGAGCCGGGCTATCTACAACAGGCGAATCGTTTTTAAGAAATTTTGCGAGAAAAATTGTTTTGAAAATATTGCAGGTTTGGATTCAGGATTCTAAGATTTTATTAAGTTTTCTATTTTGAAGTATTGAAAGTATTTTTCATTTCTTTCTTGTTTTTATTTATGAATAATTATTATATCTTTTATATATAAACGATTATGTGGTTGACATGGTCAAAAATGTTGTATGGATGATGAAGAGTAAATAAGAAAATTTGTCATCCAATGTATTTATTGATTTATTTTGTTTATTTATTTATTCATTAAATTTATGTATTGTATTTATTTTCTTTCTAAAATATTTTCAATTTCTTTAAAATTGAAAATTCTTTAATATTAAAATGAATTTTAACGATATGTTTATTTGTTAAAATTATAAATATTGAGTATTTATTATTGAGTAATTAAGTGATTATTTTATTTATTAGTATGTTTCTTTTTATAATTTTTACAACTTTTATATTAAATTAATTTTAACAATTAATGTTTATTTAATATTAATATTTATTTTTAATAAATAAACTTTCCGGAATTCTAATATTATAAAAATCCATAATTAATGCGTATTATATAATATTTCAATTTTCGCGCGGTTTGAGCGAATAAGGAACTATATTACGCCAGCCAATTAGAAGCGTCCTAGGCGAACCTGTGGCGCGGGGCGTCATTCGTCTGTCGAAAATCATCGTGACAAGGTGCGTCATCCGTCGAGTGCGAAATTTTAACTACGCAGTAAGTAATTTCTAATAATTTTATTCTTATTTTGTTGTTCAATTTATATATTATTGTTAGCTTTACTTATTCAATAACTTATTAAACATTGTTAAATCAAAATTAATTAGTTTTTTAAGTTTTTTTTGTACTTTTTCTTTCGATTGCGTATCTCGCTATTGAGGTTATCGGTAGTTTATATGTCTTTCAGTTAGAATTTCGATATTCTTATTGCTTATTTTAATTTATTTGCAATTTTATACATTTTTTTCATTACTTTTAATTTTATTTGTGCAGATTATCGTTCTGTGAATTGTAATTCTTGTGTTCTTATTGTGACTTGGGAAGGAAGCATGCATATCTCACGACAATTTATAGCCATATCATGACATATCAGGTAATATTTTACTTTTTTTACGAGAAATAAATGTATTTAGAACAATTTTCTATTGTTTTTTTATTTATTTATTAAAATGAAGATACAATAATTATTTAGCTCTCCTAGTTATTAAATGTATTTTTTTCCAACATTTCTTATTATATATTGTATTTATCATAAAAAATATTGCTATAATATATATATTTTTTGATATATATATTATAATTTTGTTAGGTTTTTTTTATATAATAATAATAAATCTTATATATTAAAATATTTGAAATTGCAAATAATTTCATAACATTTTTATTACATACCTTTTACCTTTAATTTATTTTCTTTTTATCTATCAATTGTCTCTTCTTTTTTTATTGCTAATCCAATAAATAAATTTGTTTCAGATATTAACTCGCAAGAAGCATCTTAAATAAATACGAGAAAGATTTGGATTACATCTGAATGAAAGAAAATGGTAAGTTTATCTATTAAATACTTTTTGTTTTATCATTAATTCTTACTTACTATTAACTCTTACTTATTATTAAGAGCGTTATAAGATTAATGGAAAGAAATTTCTATTTCCTTGATTAAAACTTTTAAATAAGCTTTTATCTAAACGAGTTTAGATAAATTTTCTATACAAATCTTTTCTATAAGTATGTAGAAGTTGTTTTCTATAAATATATATAGATGTGATAAGTATGTAGGTGATAAGTATGTAGTGATAGTTTTAGATTTCTGCCAGGTAGGAATAAAAAAGAAATATAGTTTTCATATAGGCAGGAATTACATTTAATATTGATTGATAAATAAATATCTAATCAATGAATTTAAGTCATAAATACATATTCATCCATACATACATATCCATTAGTAGAAACACTTCCACAAAATATTATCTCAAGTCAGAGAGAACAAACAACAAATAACACTTTGCTTTATTTTTATTTCGTTGCGCAAGCGACAATCCAATGATATACCCGTACATACACATATATCTCGTGTTTTCATCCGTTGTTAAAATCTTCCCGAAAGATCAAGTATCCTAAACATTAGGAATTCATACGAATTTTTCCGCGATGACAACCGACCATCTCCCCTGTGTTATTCCTTAAACCTTCAATTTATATAGCTCACCGTATACTCGGTTCAGTTGTTAGTTCCATACCAGTCTCGTTTCCGTTTGTATTACTCCGGGTATATACACTTCACCCTCGATTCCACCCCTTTATGTATCCTACGTACTCGCATAAAGGCACTCCATACACGTACACAAGTCGGATACACATGTCTTCCTTAGCCGAGTTGGCACACATTTACCCGCCTGTATTCCCAGTCACGGTCCTGATTAGCCTAATAGAAAACACAAACACGGCCTTCACGTGTATCATCGATATATCATCCTTACCATCCACGTTGAAATTCCACCACTTCCATGGAAACCGGCTGAAACTGACTTGGAAAAAGAAAGAAAGGGAAGGGAGGGAAGGGAACAAAAAAAAAAAAAAAAAAAAAAAGAAATGGGCCGAAACTAGGCTAATATAGGATGAGACGTTCGTTTCCTACCATTGACACGTTATGTGGAGGCACGTGGTTCGATGGGAAAAAAACGTATCGGCTGCGTAGTGGCGTGAAAAAGGGCGGGATGTTATTCAACCAGGGAAAAAACATCTCGTATAAAGATTCTTCGCGCGAATCCGGGAGTTGGGGGTGTATCTGCCGCTCTGTTAGGATAATTCTTCGTTTCCGTGTTTGCTTTGAAACGACTCTGGGATTCCGAAATGGGGGGCCACTCGAGCAGGCCAAACTAAATGGCGGGCTCTTTGTTATAGAATATTATAAGATAGAAGATTTTAGGATATTTAAAAAAGAATTAGGGAAATTGTGAAATCGAGGATCGAAAATCGTTATCGAAAAATCGATTGATGAAAAATTAATCAAGACAGTGATGAAATCTCTTTCTGGTTTCTTCTGGTTTATTCAATCTTGATCAGATTTGAACAATTTTTCTTGAAACTTAAGGAAGAGTTCCCTCAAGTTGTCGTATGAATTTCTCCTAACTTTGAACTCGCGATAAAAGTAACGATTTGTCGAGGGGTCAAGAGCTGACCACCATCCTCGTTTCGCGATAATTTTTTGAAAATAATATAATTCACACTTTCATCCATTATCATGTTACTTCCTTCGGAGTATTCGTATTTACGATAGGACTGTGCAGATGGTTACAATGGGCCCGTCGGACCATTGTGACCAATTCTCTTTAGCCCTCCGTCGAAATAATTTCATACCTCTTCGAGAGAGGTAAATTGTTACAACGTTGCACATTATCCGTCCGCGTGGATTATTATACTCCACCTTTCCACCCTCCTCCTCCACCTCCTCTTCCATCTTTTCGCCTTCTCTTTCCATCTTTTTATCCTTTTGTTTTCCATCCCTGCCATTGTTTCAGCACAATAGCCCTCGTAACGAATTTTTATTTTCTTCGATATTATTTACTTTCTCGAAGAAAAAAGAGAAAGAGAGGAAAGGGGGAGAGAAAAGGGGAGAGAGGAGGGATGACTGGATAGAATATTTCAACGGGGCAAACAATTTATCATTGTGAGAAATCACGTAATGATGCTTTTATGCGGTGCATCATAATAAAGAACTGCGCGAGAGGATAATGCGAGAGAAAGAAAGAGAGAGAGAGAGAGAGAGAGAGAGAGAGAGAGAGAGAGAGAGAGAGAGAGAGAGGAGCCGTGCCCCGGAACAGAAATAAATAAGGAACGTATAGCAGGGCATGTGGTATTAGTCTCCGTTATTAAATAAAGTTATAAGCGAGTAGGGAAATATTACGGCGCTGTGAAAAAAGTTTCTTTCCCTTGAAACGCGCGAAATTCGAGAGAAATACTGCGTGTCGCGCGACAATAGAATCTCGGGGAATTGCGGGGGGAATAGAAAGTTTCGCTCGTTTCCTGATAAATACGAGGACTATTTTTCGACTTTGTGGACGTACAACGCGTGTCTCTAACGATAATAACGATCGTCGTAGCGAAAGGGGAAACGAGGAGGAGGGGGCGTGTGAGCGAGAGCAATTCAGAAAAGTTCCCGTTTGCGAATTATTCTGAAAATTATTTTGTTGATGCGACCGTGAAAAAAAGAAAAATGAGGAAGAGAAATGCTAATGGAGGTATTTCTATCGAGAAGTTAGCGTGGAACTTTAACCATTACTCTTTGATAGCGGGCAGCGATGATCGGGCAATCTCTATCCTTATCGTGGATATTTCTTTAAGTAATTTCGTTATTGGATGATAACGAGCTTTTGAATTTTTTATCGAAAGTTTCAAAGTGTTATGCTCTCATTTTTCTTTCTTTTTTTCTTTTTTTAAAAAAGAGTAAGGTAAACGCGTATTTCCCTCGTGTCTCAATTGATTGAAATATCCTATTTCGATTCAAATATAGGGATCAATCCGAGTCGATTTAAGCCTTGATAATTAGAAAATTACGATGAAATCACTCCCGTCGAATACATTGTTTCATATCGTTAAACAATTTTGAGACAATTTAACGAGCAATTCATCATGCTTCGCGTTTTCAATTTGTGTCATTCAATTTTCAAAGGAGATTGGTTTGCCCATTTTCATCATCAGCAAGTGACAATTCGAGCGGGTATAAAACGAGAGGGTGTTGGAGGGTGGACAAGATTATCCGAGCAACGTCGTTACTCGGAGCGTTTATCCGTGGGCTCGTAATTTGGGAAAACGTTCGTTCCTTTGACACTTTCTCCAGGAAGGGTCAACTGCGCGAAACGCTCTCCTCCTATCTTTCTCTCGCCACTTCACAGACTCTTAGGCTAATAACGGAGAGTGGAACGCGAGCAAAGGAAATGAAACTACCGGACCTGCTCCCTCCCCCGGAAGGAGATTCGTCGAGATTCACCTCGTCACACAACGTCAACCCTTTCCAACCCCTTTCTGTTTTTACCTCGCTCGCGAGCCTTTAAACGTGTCGTTACGTCCCACGTTGCGTTATCAAAATTTCATAAACGCCTCCTTTGTACACCTCTGCTACTATTACTACTAATGATTCTGATGACGCGAAATTCTTCGTTTCGATTAATCCGAATTTTCGTTATTGCATGTTACGATATTATTATTCTTATAAAAAAGGCAATCTTTTTTGCAAGATTTTTTTAAACGTTCATCGAATCGTGCTCGTTGGAAAGTAGGATCGTTGAAATCAAACGGGGGATCACTGATCAACGATCTAAGCGAGAAAATATTGCGAAATTCCGCGTTAATGCCACCCGGATGAAATGGTATGTAACAACGAGGCGAGGGGGGGTAGTGGAACAAATGGATGGAAAATTGAAGAGGGCGGATGGCAGGGAGGGGTTGGGAGTAGAGATATTCTAAAGAATTCTATCAATCAATCACTGCCGTATTCTGTCCGAGCGGGGTTGCTCTATGGGTGCATTATTAGAGCGAACGATCCCGCCCCCGATACTTCTCTTGCTATTCAAATATTCGCGAATAATTTTATCGTAAATTTTTGAACTTGGCGTCGAATAGCCATCGGGCGAATTGGCTCCGGTTGCTCGGCAAACATTGAACTATTTGATATAAAATACTTATGCTGGCTCTGCCATGCAATTTTCGAAGAGTGCTGGAAAACACTGGACCGAACTCTCTGGGTCTCTCACTCTCTCTCTCTCTCTCTCTCCTCTCCTCTTTTATTTTCCTACGTCGCGCCCTGTATCCTCCCTTCGCCTCCCTCGACCTTCCTCTCGCCACCCTTTATCCTCCGCAATCGACGAATTCTCTCTCGGGGCGGAGGCAGGCGGCACTCTCTCCGCATTTCAGACGGTGGCTCTGGGATACACGCGCTCCGCGCCAATCTCTACCTTCTTTTTCGATGAAATTTAAGGCACACCGCAATTCGTCGGATTTTTTGGTCCAATTGCTCGCCGCGCGAGAAACGAAGTCTCGTGAAATACGCTTCTCATAGCTCTGATTGCAATCGCCGCATGAGGAACGCTTGTGAATCCACCCCCTCCCCGGATTCCCCTGTTTATTGAATGAAACGTCGAAATTCCACCGTTCCTTTTCTGTCTTCCTTTGATTTCCTCTCCTCCATCACTATGTTCGTTCGGTGAAACGGGTGCACGGTGGTCGCTCTTGATCTTGGAATTAATTCGAGATTAATTTAAACAGGATCGGAGAAAACACGCACGCGGGAATTCATTTGTTATTTCGATCAATCGTTCTTCTTCTATTCCACACGACTCGATGTCGAGTATATTTTTTTTCTTTATTTGTACGTATTTTAAATAATCATTTCGAATCTTTTAAATTTAAATTTCCCCCCATTCTTCGCGGATAATTTAATTGCTCGACACGTATGAACATAATTTTCAATAAAGTTTTTATACCAAGTTTTGGCAAGAATTAAATTTTAAGATTTATAATATAAGATATAATATTTTTGAATACG